TATGTTCCACGGGCGCGGTTCTGGTCCCAATGTCTTTTACTTCTTTCCGAAGTAGTTCTATTGAGGAATGCCAGGTTTTCACTAGTTTTTCTGCCATGGTGTTTAGTGCTTCCTCTAAATGTGCTTTAGTCGGATTTCCTTGCTCTTCTTGATGGGAATCGGCCTGATGAGTGTTTCCCGCTGTTAACACGTCAACGCCATCTTGGTTTGTGCTCCGGTCGGTTTCAGAGGCTGCCGCCATTTTTTGGTTGAAGAAGCTAAGTTTGTCGGCTTTCTGGGTGTTCTTCTTCCCTTTGGGCTGTGACATGGTGTGGTTTGAGGGGTTTCCCCGCGTTCTGAGAGTGGATGATAGTGGATTGAGAGAGCCCGGGTGTCAGAGCAATTTCCTAAGCAGCCAGGTTGCTCGGCAGTTGGCCACGCCCCCTCTTTCTCAGGGTCTTATTAACTATTACAAATTACTATTTACTTCTTCAGGTCAGCAATCTCGGTGGCTCATGTACCTTCTCAAGGTTTTGGTGTTGATAAGGACCCCTCGGTCTGTAGACTGCTCCAAGGTGTGTGTCTTTCGAAACCCCCTGTGTCTCACTAGTTCTCATTCTGGGACGTCTCGGTCATTGTGAATGCTTTCCTATGGACTGGCTGAATGCGTGCATGGCTCATTCAGCCGAAGAGGAGGAGAACTCCCCGCCCGGCGCTGGAGAAAGAGGTAAGTTTAACCCCTTCCTCTCCCCAGAGCCCAGCGGGAAGGGGTCCCTGAGGGTGGGGGTACCCTCAGGGCACTATAGTGCCAGGAAAACGAGTATGTTTTCCTGGCACTATAGTGGTCCTTTAAAGAATGAAAGCACAGACATACAAAATTTACATATAATCTTGTGTTCAATATAGCACCACCAAACTCTCAATTACAGTCTCAAAGAAGAATATACTCTTGCTTCTTTAGCAACATTTCATTCATTTAGGTCAAGATATGGTGGAGAAGATTGTGCTAACTCATACAAATAAGTCATTGTCCAACAAGTGAAAAGTTACTTTGCATTTTGATTAAAACGTAACCCTAACATAAAATGTTTTTTTGCAGTGTATAATAAATGGGATTCAAAGATATAAAATACAAGACAAATCATATAAGACAGAAAAATTATATGAAGTATACTGGTGTATCACACATGTCCAAATAAATATGAGCTTTCTTTTCAGCAAAATTACATATGTGAAAGGCAAACTTGACATAGTTTCTATTTTTTTTTTTTCATATGCTGTTTCCCATAATAAGCCAGAGGTTAGCATTAAATAAAGAATTATCTAATTATGAAGCACATTTGCTGTAAAATGTTCACATTATATGGTTAGCATCAAGGCTAGAGATGGTAATTCTTCATTTTCTATTGTGAGCTTTCATGACTAGTTATGCAAATGACCATGATTGATGAGAGGTATGTTATGGAATAGTCATTTATGTTACTATTACATCTTAAAACGTGTCTGGCTTATATATCTATGCATCTTCTATATCTCACGCATGCATTTTGACTCTGCTTTAGTATTCTGTTCTAAAGGTTTTTCTTTTTTCTAAACAATGAATTGTGGAGAAAAAACCCTGCAATATTTAGTCACAAAAGCAAAAGTAATGTTGAGAGTAAAACCAGAAAACAGGTCTTTAGTTGTGATTTAGAGTGTTTAAAGCCCTGCATTAAAAGCTAAATATGTGTGCAATATATTTTGACTGTTTGAACATGTTTTTCTTTCGGAGTGTTTTTTTGTGTTTAATTCTATTTTTATTGTGCATTTAGGTTTTACAGTTCAGAACCCCTCTGCCCAATTGAAGAGGATCGTAACAATCGTTCAAAAAAATACTTTTCTTTGAGAAGCATTGAACAATGCTTACCTTTGGAAACTCTTCACTTCCTCCTTGGCTCCGTTACCTTTCTGATCACTTTCTGTACCTTGCAGAACCTTTCTGCTCCTTCGCCTAATTTACCTTTCCTTCTGATTATTTCTGCTCCTTTACCTTTGTGCTCCTTCTGTCCCTTTCTGCTCTTTGCAGACCCTTCTTGCTAATTTCTGCTCCGTCTCATACTTTACCTTTGTGCTCCTTCTGCCCCTTCCAGCTCATTGCTGACCCTTTCTGCTCCTTGATTTCCCTTCCTGCTCATTTCTGTTCCTTCTCCTACTTTACCTTTGTGCTCATTCTGTCCCTTCCTGCTCCTTGCCAACCCTTTCTGCTCCTTCTACTTTACCTTTGTGCTGATTTACCTTGCTGCCCCTTTGTGTTCCTTGCTGCCCCTTCCTGCTCATTTATGTTCCTTTGTGCTCCTTCTCCTCATTTACCTTTTGTGCTCCTTGCTGTCCCTTTCAGCTCCTTCATGTCCCTTCTGTCATGGCTTACCTTAGCTGGGAGTCTGTAGTGCAGATATGTGCTCAACCTTACAATTAAACACAGGCCAAGGTGGTCAGGTAAGAACTTACCTGGCCTGTGAGTCTGTAGTGCAGATATGTGCTCAACCTTACAATTAAACACAGGCCAAGATGGTCAGGTAAGAACTTACCTGGCCTGTGAGTCTGTGCACGGGGGCTGTGCTGGATAATGCTCCAAGTCACAGTCAGTGGTGTATCCTGGTTTTGTGCTGCCCTAGGCAGGACAAAACTCAGGCGCCCCCCTCCCCCCCGCGCCACCCCCACCCAACCCTTCCCCCCGCCCCACCTTCTAAATACACACACACACAGTCAGACACATACACACACACACAGTCAGACACATACACAAACACACACACACACAGTCAGACACATACACAGACACAGTCAGACACACACACACACACACATACACAGTCAGACACAAACACACACACAGTCAGACACACACAGTCAGACACAAACACACACACAAACACACACAGACACACACAGTCACATACACACACACAGTCAGACACAAACACACACACACACACACAGTCAGACACAGACACAAACACAGTCAGACACAAACACACACACACACACACAGTCAGACACATACACAGACACAAACACACACACACACTCACAAACACACACAGTCAGACACAAACACACACACACATTAACTTTTTTTTTAATTTAAATCCCCCCCCAACCTCCTTACCTTTGGGAGTGCTGGGGGGGGGGGTCTCTCTCCCTGGTGGTCCAGTGGCTGCAGGGCGGGCGGCGCTGGCAGGCGGGCGGCCGGCGAGGGAGCACTTCCCATGAGCTGACTGCTCAGCTCCCTCGCGCGTCGGCTGCAGAGTGAGGCTGGGAACCGGAAGATGACGTCATCTTCCGGCTCCCAGCCTCACTTTGCGGTGCGCGAGGGAGCTGAGCAGTCAGCTCATGGGAAGTGCTCCCTCGCCGGCCGCCCGGGATGTCAGTTAGCCGCAAGGCTAACAAGGCATCTGCCCTGGGCATTTGGGGGGCGGCGTTTTTTGCCGCCCCCTGAAAAATGCCGCCCAAGGCAAATGCCTTGTTTGCCTCGCGGCTAATACGTCCCTGGTCACAGTACAGATACGGACATAAGCAGGAGAATCGGCGTGGGTAAGCCAAGGGTCATAGGGTGCCAGAGGTCAGGATAAATGGGTAGAAAGCCATGGTCAGAGGATGCATGAAGTCAGGATACACGGAGTAACAAGCCAAGATCAGGAGCCAACTAGAGAACACAAACAGCAATACAGGAACCAGAGTCAATGAACTGACCCTGCCCTCTGGGAGAGGCAGTGTCTTATACTTGGCTAATGAGGCCATCAGCTTCAGGTGTGCTGAGAGTATTGGAGCATCCACAGAACATATCAGTGCTAGATACAAGGGAGGATTAGACTTCAGGCTTACTCTAGAGCTGTATTGTGGCTCAGAGGCAAAACAGCAGACCCAGGACTGCAAAGTACCCAGCTTCAAATCTCGTTGGGTACTTCTGGGTCAACACAGTCTGGATGTCACGGTGAGAAACGTGACAGTACCCCCCTTTCAAAAATGTCCTCTGGGCATGAAAAGGCTCTTTGTTTTTTCCATACATCTTCTCGGCTTCACAATCAGAGTCGAGAAAGTCCTTATAATAGAAGTCTACAGAGCGAAGTCCTTTTAAAGCCTGGGGCTCTATAGTACCAGTTTCAGGTACTACTGGAGAGAGGTCAAGGTTATTCAAGGATTTGGTGCAGGCGGCAAGTACCTTGATCACAGAAGATATTTTCTCTGAACTTTTTTCTTTAGGTACGTTACCAGGAGCAGAGTTCGCAGATTTCAAAGCCTTTTCAAATGTCTCCAAATCTGTTTTGCGGACTTTGGTACCATTGGAGGCATAGGTACAGTCCGAAGGTAATTATTCTTTAATTTGACAGGAAGTGGTGATGGTACCAGCTTTAACATGAGTGTTTTCAGGAGGAGGTGCAGACATTTCAAGAGTACCATAGTCTGAGTACCCTCTGTATCCCCCCATCTCTCACTTACCTGATCTATAGGCTGTCTCCCCCCTCCCCCCTCCCTCACTTCCCTGATCTATAGGCTGCCCCCCTTGCCTCACTTTCTGATCTATAGGCTGCCCCTCCATGCTTCACTCGCCTGATCTGTAGGCTGCCTCTCCATCCCTCACTTACCTGATCTGTAGGTTGCCTCTGCATGCTGGGAGTTGCTGGCTGCACTCTGTGCTGCTCCCCTGCGGATTCAGTCAGGAGAGAGAAGCTGGGATAAGATGTAGCTTCCTATCCCTGTCTCTTTCCATACACAGTGCCGGTATTGCACTCTATTTTCAATCTTACAAAAAAAAGAGCAGAACAATCTGAGAAATCCAGGGCTGGGTGGGGGTGGGGGGCCCTGCGGGCACCCAGGGCCAGGGCTCTGCTCTAAAACCTTTGCAAGTTTAAAGAAAAACAAAAACTCCTGGGTGTATGTTTCACTTTAACATGAAAGGGCATTTGGAAATGGACTGTTTTATCTGTACAACATACAAGGCAAGCAAATTAGGTTGGACAAACCGCTTTTCTCAAAAATAGATTTATCCCAGAACTTTGAGGTGACCCACACCAAGCGACTGAGACCAAGCCGACACCATCGGATAACCGCAGCATCTGACCATTTACCACACGAACCACAAAGGGGAACCAAGACAGAGGACCACCACTCGGCACAGTCCAGCTGGATGGCAGACGGAGACATCAGACACCACACCACCGGGCGGATCCCTGCACAAAAACTCCTGGGTGTATGTTTCACTTTAACATGGCAGGGCATTTGGAAATGGACTGTTTTATCTGTACAACATACTAGACATGTGCAAGGCAAGCAAATTAGGTTGGACAAACCGTTATTCTCAAAAATAGATTTATCCCAGAACTTTGAGGTGACCCACACCAAGCGACTGAGACCAAGCCGACACCATCAGATAACCGCAGCATCTGACCGTTTACCACACGAACCACAAAGGGGAACCCAGACAGAGGACCACCACTTGGCACAGTCCAGCCGGAGGGCAGACGGAGACATCAGACACCACACCACCGGGCGGATCCCTGTGACTGGACTGCAGGCGCAGAGATCTGGAATTGGTTAGGTGATTACTCTAATCTGGCTACCAGAGCCCAACACCTTCTCCAAGCTGTGACGCTTGCTGACATTGCTGACACTGTGGACATGTCTAACCAGAGACAGCAGAGGACTCTATTCATGGCAAGAGAGCAAAATGTACCTTGATTTTTTATATGTTGCATTTATTGTTTTACTTACCTTTCTTTGGCTCTATATCTGCCTCATAAATGCAGCTACATACTACCTGCAAAGCTAGCCCCACTGTCGCTAACTAACCACTATTCCTAATGTCCTATTAGCGTAGAGTAGAGTACCTGCAACAAGCAATTTAACTTGGCATACAAGCCTGTTCATGCCAGGGGTTACGGGGGGAATGCCACTCGGGACTAAGTGAATACATGCCTAGCCTCTCCGAGAATAGCCTCAAAATCTTGCTCCCAAGGTCGGTCCTGCACAATTACCCGTGCAACCACTTATCTATCGCCTTAAAGGCTAGAAGGGCTTTAGTTATTCATAAACTCAACACCTACACATAAGTAAACATATCAGCCTGCTCATAGGATGTGTAATTTAATATGTCACTAACCTATGACAGCCATGTCTATACATATCTTGTAAATACACCTCTTGCTACCGCAACTTGCTATAATTAAGCTTCTGACTCACTCAGCTCCACTCAAATCGCATACTCTCGACCTATCTTAACTATTTTTTCAATCTACTTTTACAGCCGAGTGCTTAAGCATGATTAAAACATAAAACTGTGCATGTTAATCTTGTGCCCCGCATGTTAAGCATGGGAAAAGCTGGAGGACTACCTTTGGGGCACCTCTCGCCTGCTTGTGTTATATACCTGCACTGCAAAAATAAAGAATAAAAAAAAAAAAAATAGATTTATTTTTGGAAAGGTTGAATTGTGGCAACACGGCCTTTTGGTTCAGCAGAATTGTATTACCGAAAACTGGATTTGGAAAATAATCAAAAGGGTGATCTATATAATATATATTTAATATAAATATATTTAAATTAAATGTGTAAATATATATTTTGCTGCTCCTCCTTTTCCTTCTATTGCTCACTGCTTACTTGATCTGTGAATAATATCAATGTTTAGTGATTGTCCTCTTTTTTTTCTATCAATCATACTTTTTTTGGCACCACATGTGGAATTCAGAATCATAAAACAAAACAAACATGTTTGCCCTTTGTGTGGCTTGTTAGGGTAATGAGCTAGGGAATTCAGCCAATCACCTGATCAAATTCCAAATTCAGATGAATTGCAGTTTGGATCTCCAAGTCTAAAGCAGACCAAAATATCCAGCTCTCCAAAGGAAAACATAAGGTAGCCACAGAGAAATACACATACATTTCATGAAGTGGATTTTTTAATGTTAATAGTGCTTCACATGGGGGGCAGAGCTAAGCAGCCAAACAGGTCAGAAGCTTGCTCGATTGGCTCCATACTTAATGGCTACATTACAGCATTTTTAACCCACCTAATATTGGTTATAAGACCAAATAACAGAGGCCAGACAAGCCCAAGTTAGGCATGAACATTGAAGGCTTCCTCCAATACTTTTCTGACTCCACCAAAGAGCTGATACTAAGTAGGGAAGCTGCTGACTTACCATCTCCTCTATGGCCTCAGACAGAGTTATGCTTACTAAACTCCAGAAAAATATCCATGCTTATGTTGCATCACTCTGCAGTGACCTCACAGGCCTGATAGGTCGCATAGGGATGGTGGAGACAGCATGAGCACACCAAGAACAGAAAATAGAATCACTTTAACGTGAAGTGCACATACTTCAACAGTATCAGGCAAAAACAGAGCAACGCTTTGCTCAGTTAGAGGATGCCAGATGCCGGAACAACCTTAAGATACGTTATATACTGGAGGATACAACAGCAAAAGTTTTGCACTTCTTAAGGAGACTGATCGTCACCTTGTTGCCTCCTAAACAGGCCAAAAACATCACCTTTGACAGCGTCTTCTGAGTCCTAAAACCCAGAAGAGTGCCGGAATCAGCCTTTCACAGCAACAAAGATAAGATGGCAGTGCAGACAGCGCTGAAGGGTACATCATCATACTCATTCAAAAACACAACACTTGCATTCTATGCCAACCTTACGGGCTATACTCTGCTGTGGAGGAAATCCCTGCAGCCATTTACCACGTTGCTATGGACCAACAGCATCCATTAAAGATGCCAATCACCACACACACTCCAGGTTCTAAAGGGGAATTTGACAGACCTTTGGCCTCCCACATGACTCCTTACCAACCACAGCCTGAACAAAGAGGGGCCATCACTCCATCCCACACTTGGGATCCAACGACCACAGTGGCATCTACAGGATTCATACATAGGAGGGGCACATAAGGGGCCAGGGACAAAAGTAGGTGGGCAGTTATAAAATGTGTGTACATATGTGTGTGTGCATATATATAAAGTTTTATAACTTTATGCATATTTATATATATATATACATACACAGGGCTCGACAAATATCAGGCGCCAGGTCACCATGGTGACTAAACATTTCGCCTTAGCACCTGTCAGTATGGAGGCAGCATGTGAGGGAGCAGTAACCTTCCTGTAGTTCCTCTATGCTTCCTTGTGTGCTGTTTAGTGGTATGATGTCACTCCGGCCCCAGCATCACTATAGAGAGCGCACAGAGGAACAGAGAGAAACTGCAGGAAGACTGAGAGAAGACACACTGGACGCCAGGGAAAGATCCACTCAGCTCTCCCAAAGGCTGGGGGGATTTAAATAAAAATAGCAATTTGTGAGCGTGTGAGAAAATATATGTGTGTGTGTGTGTGTGTGTGTGTGTGCTGAAAGGGCCTGTAAAGTGTGTGCGTGTTTCGTCTAGGGTCTGCATTGTAAGTGTATGTGTATTGGGGTTGCATTGTGTGCTTATCAAGGAGCTTTAGTTCATATATATATATATATATATATTTAATTAATTATATCTGAGATATGGTGTGTAATGGGGTGGAGCATGTATGTATGCGTGTGTGTGGGTGAAGGTATGTGGTGAAAGTATGTGGGTGAAGAGATGATGTGTGTGATGGGTGCACTGTGTGTGCATGCAAAGATGTACTCTGTGTTGGTGGGAGTGTACTGTATGTGGTGGGTTCACTGTCTGTGAGGGTGTACTGTGTTCAGGGGGTGTAGAGAGTGGGATAGGGAAGAGCTTTACAATTTTTACTTAAATAATTGTTTACAGAAAATAAAAAGAATATTCTTCTTTCCCTTTTCTTTCCTTGCAGGGAGAGGGTGGCACAATCAGGTCCGTGGTGGTTGAGAAGGCTGCCTATCCATCGGGTACAGGGTAGGTCACGAGATAAAAGGTATCTCTCTTGGAGCTCAAGCACTTATAGAGACTGACCCATACAAACCCAGACTGACCCATTCAAACCCAGACTGACCCATTCAAACCCAGACTGACCTATACAAACCCACAAACTGACCCATACACATACAGACCCATACACACACACACACACACACACACACTGCCCCCACACACAGAGTGATCCATACACACACACACACACACAGACTACTCCCCCACACAGACAGACCCATACATACACAGACTGACCTCCCCACACACACAGACTGACCCATACACACACACACAGACTGCCCCCCCACACAGACTGACCCCTCACACACACATACTGACACCCCCACACACAGACTGACCCATACACACACACACACACACACACACACACACACACACAGACTGACCCCCAACACAGACTGACCCATACACACACACAGACTGACCCATACACACAGAATGACCCAAACACACAAACTTACCCCCACCCCCAGACTGAACCCCCCACCCCACAAACAGACTGACCCATAAACACACACACAGACTGACCTACCCCACACAGACTTACCCATACACGCAAACTGACCTCCACACACACAGACTGAACCCCCACACACACAGACTGACCCCCATACCCATACACACAAAGACTGACCCCCCCCACACAGACTGACCAATATAAACACAGACTGACCCATAAACACCCAGACTGACCCATCCCACACAGACTGACCCCTCACACACAGAATGGTCCCCCCACACACAGACTGAACCACCCACCTCCACACACAGACTGATCCTCCACACACACAGCATGACCCCCTCACACACCCATATACACACTGACTGACCCATACACACAAACTGACACCCCCCACACACAGATGGAACCCCCACACACAGACTGATCCCCACACACAGACTGACCCCCCACACACAGACCCATACACACAAACAAACACACAGACTGACCTATACACATACACAAGCTGACCCTCCCCCCTCCCACACACACACACACAGACTGAACCACACACACTGACTCACACTTATTAGCAACTACCTGGATGTCTCTGTGCAGAGCTGAGCTTCCTCTCCCGATCTCTCCCCTGCGCTTCTCTCTATTACCCAGGAGGAGGTCCTCCCAGCACAGTGCCCCCTCTGGCCCTTGTGGGAAAAGGGTGGAACAGAGTACTGCTGCAGCTTGTGTAGGGACATGCAGTGCTCCCGACTTCAATTTCAATTGGGGAGGCACAAGGGGGGGGGGGCACTGCATGATGTAGTGGGGCCATGGCCCCCTCTGCCCAGTTATGCCACAGAAAGTCCATCACCCCGTTCATAGCTCAGAAGGCCTACTCAGATGCCTACAATGCAGCCATGACCTGAGGCTTTGTATTACTTTTTTGTTACAAAAACATTTTCAGAACTTTTTCAGATTTATAAGGTTTTCTGATGGTTCGATTTTCCTTTTGATTGTATATATATTACTTCACTTTATGCAAGCATGCCAGATTGGCCCTTAGATTATTTTCAGTATTATAATTTCTATTTTTATTTTATATTTACCATTGGCCTCCGCAAGCTGTCATCCACGTACAGAGGGATATGGAGTTAATGGACATAGAGCATTAACACACCAGATAAATTGTATAGGCCAATCACCCGCC